TTCTGAGAAAAACTGGGAGAAAGAATACACACTCCTTAGTGAAGAACATCTGGAAGAAACCCCCAGTGAAAACAAAGCAAAACAGAACAACATCCAGGATCCAAGTAATAAATAAATGTGCTTTCACTACATTTTCCTGAAATCTCTGCTCTCATTACCTACAAGTGATTTGCCTGAGAAGCGCTCCTTTTCTGGTTAGCAGGCTCAAAAGCAGTTACGGTGTCTTACTATATCTGTACAGTTTGAATGACATTTTTGCCCTGTGTGGGTAATCATCAGCATTCATTCAACACTTTTCAGTCAATTTTTAAAAGCACAAGACTGCATCATCAGGAGCTATGAGAGAACAGAAAAGTAGGAGCTGCATTCATTAATAAGGCTGCACTACACTTTTCAGGAGAATCACTTGATCTCAAGCACACGCCTTTAAATTCTTGTAATCCTGTGACACTGCATATGCACAGACAGCAGCACAGAAGTGGCACAGAGCTCACATGCATGCAGTCATCTAAACCAGTGCTGCCTCATTAGCACTGAAGGCATCAAAGAGGACAAATAATTAATATCATAAAACTGAGTTACTGTACCATCAGAAGCTACCATGGAACAGTCAACACTGGCTTCATTCATGGTGGTTGTTGGTCGCAAGCAAGATGAAAATTCTTGTATTAAATTAGTTTTTATTTTTTTTTATTTTGTTGCATCTGTGTTCAAACATGCGGCAGCTGGGAAAGAAAGCCAGCTTCCTACTGACATAACATAGCATTGATGCAAATTTAAAGATCAACTGGTGTAATTTAGATGGTGTAGTCACACTCTAAAGGTTCTAGTTTAGCACTGAATGAAAATTATATTGTTTGGTGAAAATAATTATAAGTAATTAAGATCATACTTGATGTCAGTTCTGAAATTATTAGCCCATTAAATGTGTTAATATTGATAATGAGTAGAGATTGCAACTGTCAGTGTGTACAGGTTTGCAGACAAGGTGGCGACACTGTCCTCTTACTAAGGTTGAGCATATGTACTGTTTGTACACATCTGTATAAACTCACCTTTGTTCCAGATCACGAATCTTTTCTCTAAGAGGAGCCACGGCCTAAAGGGAAGTGGGAAGTGAGAGATTCATTAGTCAATAATGAAGTAATGCTTGATTGAATACCTTGAAGGCTGTGTCACAGCATCACAATGTTAGTTAAATTGATGGTGAAGTTCATGTCATTTTCATGGCTATTTAATCATGTAGCTCCTAGCAACTTGCAAGGTCCTTTTTATGCTCCTGCAAAATATCTGATTGTTATGGGCAATAAAATAAAATAAATAGACATGCGACTGCCACACTCACTTAGCCTTAAAAATGAACAGTATCAGTCATAGAAATAGTGCCAGAACTTGATGGAATGATGGGAAAAGGACACAGAGTATAGAGTCTGTAACAAGGTCCACAGGCAGTACCAGAACTGTATACCATGTCTAGGGCTGTACAGTAGCAACATACTAAAACAGGATTTATGCAAGGCTCACAAGGACTTTTTCAGACTTTTTTAATACCACACAGAAGGCAACTGAACAGCTGTTTCAAATTCATAAAGGCAGAAGTATGAAAGTATAAACGGACGGTGCTGCTTAATCATCAGTCAAGCAACTAAACCATTAATTAATCATTGCAGCTGTAGTTCATTTAAGTGTGCACCAACATCTGCATTTCCTACTGTATTTTCATTGCATTTTCATTTGTAAAAACCTGAGCCATAGACAGATATTAATTAGGTATTTTTTCATATCCTGCAAGACTGGCATCATTCAAGGGTGTAAGATAAGGTCGACAAAAATTGTATGGAAAATGGAAAGTGTGTAATTTTCTGCCAAAATCAAATGTTATAAAGATGTGAATTTTGAATTTTCCATAGGTCATCTTTAAAATACAGTGGTGTATGTACTTATTTTATCAGAAACTGAAGCCACACAGTAACTCAAGCCAAGCTACACCTGATTGTTTTTTTTTTTTTAACCCCAATCCAGGCCAAGGTACAAGAGAGTTAATGATCTAAAACAATAGAATGCTCTCACATATGTCTTTACAAGGATCTAGTAAATGATTAATGTGTCAATGTGAAAGTGAAATATTGGCTGATAACATACAGCAGAGATCCTTAAACCTTTAAGAGAAAACTGTTTTAACAGGGTGGAAAGACTTTTTCGAGTCAAACTCACTTCATCAATTTTCTCTTCAATCTTGATTTCCCCATTTTCTTGTATTGATCTGTGACAAGAGAAACATAAATACAAGGAAGGGAGGGGATGACTTGAGGGCTGCTATAATCACAAAGCCAGAGAAAACACAGCAGCAACAATGGTATGAGCACTTAAACTATTGACTGATTTACAGTTTCACATTAACAAACACCTAATCAGCACAATAACGGCATACATTCACACAGAATTTTAAGACAAAGAGAAAAGATACAGCGACAAAGAACAGCAGTTACAGCGTAATGATATAAAACCATCTGGGGAATTTAAGTGTCTTAGTTTGTACATGGCATGCCTCTTACCTTGCCCATTTAATGAGATGACACTTTTATCTTGACAGTATTTTAAAGTTCTTTTTTAAACTGAATTAATTTCTCAACTACCTGCTTTTTTCAGCATCTCAACCAAATTGCAACTTTCACAACTCATCTAACACTTTGTTCTGTGTAAAGTAGTTGCAGAAGAAACTGTTCAGACTCCTTCACTTTTGCACACTTCACTGTATCAAATAGTATTATATAATATTAAACTTTTTTTTAAAATCCCATCAACAGATACTCAACAACCCATAATGACAATCTGAATTCCTAGAAATTTCTGAAATGTTTTTAAAAACCAAAAACTGAAATCTCTCATTTACAAAGGTATTCAGACCCTTAATTCAGTGCTCTGTAGAAGTAATTAATGGTTTTGAGTCTCTACAAGCTTTGGGCAGTTTATCCCATTCTTCCCGGCACATCCTCTCGAGCTCTGTCAGACTGGATGGGAAGTGTCTGTCAGCTGCAGTCTTCAGGTCTCTCCACAGATGTTCTATGGGGATTAAGTCTGGGCTTTGGCCAGGCAACTCAAGGACAGTCAAAGACTTGTGATTGAAGTCACTCCAGTGTTCTCTCAGCTGCATGCTTCAGGTCACTGTCATGCTCAAAGGAGAACTGTCACCCAGTCTCAGGTCACTGCACTAAGGAGCAGGTTTTCTTCAAAGACTTCTCTGTACCAGGCTGCATTCATTCGTCGTTCAGTTCTGACCAGAATACCTGTCCCTGCTGCTGAGCAAAGCACAATGCTGCTGCCACTGTGCTTCAGCACTAGGATGGTATTAGCTAGGTGACATTAAATCTACAACACAATAAAGTGTGCAAAAAGTGAAGGAGTCCTAATTCTTTCTAAAGTCATTGTATTTAACAGTGTAGTTACAATCCAGTCTGCTGATAACAGCATGCTCTTGTCAATGTGCTATGTTAGAAGGGGGGAAGACACTGTGAGAGTCCACTATGAGAATCTAGCACTTATCATAGGATAGATTGTTTTAACAATTACGTTTTATTTCAGAGATAAGGATAAAACTAAACAACATCAAGGATCAGAACTGCTCGTACTGATCAAGGTCACACTCATAATGTTCAGTAAATGATATGATTAGAGTAACCGCTCCTCCCACAAGATGTCACTGATTATGGAGTTTAGAGCTTTGATGCTGAACCATTCAAAAAATGATGAATACAAGATTTTAATTTTTTTTTCACCCTTATATTGGACACTATGAACTTGCAGATGCAGATAACAAATCCTTTCCAAAGCTTGCAGGAATTTACTAGAAGCTCTTTGAATAGTGTGCCACAGGAACCAGATATAAATCAAATCCAATCAAATAGTGATATTTCGATTAATACCATTACGATGAGCCTAATGGTATGGTTGCATGAGTTTTTATAGAACAGCCTGGTCTATTACAAACATCTCCTTTAATTTGGCAATAGGTAAAATGTTGTTCAGACCATGAGATTAGTTACCATAGAGCATAAATATTACAAAAAAATAAATAAAATAAAAATTAATTACTGTACCTCATGTTCATATATGCTCCCCAGACAGCTGGAAGAAAGAAAGAGAAAGGTTGTCATAAAAATGGCTGCATCATGAATGCAAGGTAAACAGCCTAAATCAGTGGCATATTTAATAAAACTAATCCATCTAACAAAGCCAAAGATCAAAACTGCTGGAGAAAAAAAGAAGCTCCAAACACTGTCACACTAGCTGCTAATGGCAGGTGAGAGCTGAAGAATACAGCTCGGAGAAAACTGAA